CCCCCCCCCCGCCATTGTCTGCTTTTGTGTTCCGCGGTGTGGCGGGGGGGGGGTGTAGCTTTTCCGCTCGGCTGGCTCGGCTGACCCGAACCGCTCTCTGTAAAAGACGTACGCAGCCTTTTGTTACCGGCCAAGACGGCGCCATCTCACTTACTGCCGGGGGAAACAGGGACTCGTATAGGCTTAGAGCTTGCCCTCGTGAGCTTTTCTGGCACGAAATTATCGCGCAGTACTTCACGTGCATGCAAACCTGCACATTGGTTTCACGTCAAAACGTTTTTGCAGACATCTTAACTCATTTTGCACGTGATCCATTCCTGCATTTTGTCAAAACCTGAAAGGCTCCCGAATTTTGTAGATCTCGTTTACCTAAGCAAACAACATCTAGGTATAAATTGGTTCTTTGGAAATTTTCCAATCGCTGGTTCTGCAGCGCGCTCAAACATCAAACGTTTTTATTCAATTTTAATCGTTTCCTCAATTGAAAAACCAAGCATTTCTCGTAGTTAGATAAGATGTATTTTGAATTGTTTTTTTTTTTTGCTCAATTTGCCTAGGTAGACAAAAATATATAACACCAGTGCAGAACACTAGACTTGCAAACCAATTCACACAACAAGGCTGCAACAAATATGCGAAGAAATCTAGAAATGAACTCGGTAACAAAGACTCGTAGGCCTTCCTCTCTGAAGCTCTAGGCTCAGTTCCAAAAGACAGATTTCCTTAAATAACTGGCAAGCAAGTATATCTAACTCGAAAAAAGGGAACTAGATTGCGCAAAATATGAAATTGTAACAGGAAGATGGCACTCCAGTCATTGCAAGTCAGTGCGTGCGTTTTACTTTCCCCCTCTCAGGTGGAAGATCAAATGAAACTCCTACAGAACTCGTGGAGTCAGTTGTTGGTATTTGACCACCTGTACCGGCAGGCCCATCACCATGGCGACGGCATCCTCCTTATCACGGGCCAGACTATCGATTCCACCATGCTCCCCATCGGCCTGGCGGCCATGGGGATGGGGGACCTGACCGACCAGATGGCGCGGATCATCGCCCGCATGCGCGACCTCAAGATCGACCACAAGGAGTACGTCTGCCTCAAGTTTCTCATTCTCCTCAACCCTGGTGAGTTTATAGCTTCATGAATCATTAAGTGAAATCACAAACCTCTATGTACTGTACGTATGAGCCTGTGCCTGCCAGCCTGATATATTTTCATACCGGCATTTAACCAGAACCTCCGCGAGGTAAACGCTAGCCAGACCCACCTCGAAATCCAGGCAAACTAATTGTTTTCCCTTAAAGTGGTGAAATTTTCACCAGTCTGTTGGTACACGTTCCTTCTTTCCGAACTGCATTCAATTTCACACTTTTATTTGAGACAGACCGAATGATTCAGTGAGTTGAAGTTATTGCACTGGAGTTAGTTTTTTTCCACCGTTGATACTCAAACCCTCCTGTTGCCTTCCACACTCGATTTTGCCCCAGATTCGCTAATTCTTACCTATAATACCAGATCGTGATATACTGTACATGTGCATGTGCTGCCGTCACTAACTCCAGTTAAAGCGATAGTGAAGCTAAAAAAATCAACCTTTGCATTTGCACGCAAGGCTGCCCGAAATGGAATTGCAATTCATATTCCACTCGATCCAATCAAGGAGATTATTGCCTGAAACTTGATTTGTTAGTACGATTCAGCACTGCAGTGGAGTCGAAAGCTTGGGCCCATGCATGTAACCGGCGAAAAAGGCCCCGACGTCATAATTCGATCCTCGGGCGGCGTGTGGGAGACTTCTTTCGCTATCCCCGTGTTATTCTCAGGTCCGAGCTCTCTCCGACTTGATTGTAAACCAACCAGTTCTGTCTCGTGCCCAGACTATGATTATGTCCTGATCGAGGTCAGGGAAAATTGACCCTCCTCGATTGAGGGATAGGCAGCTAATTGGTAGACGTCATTCCTTAATCTAGCCAGTGGACAATGAATTCTATTACTCGAACCGAGGGCAGACATAAAGTGACCTCTCGCTCTTGAAGGAGGCGTTCCAGGCTCCCTATTCGCGAGGCATCATTTCTTAGTGATTTCTGGCCTATTATTGTGGTCGAATAAATGAAATGGACGTGCAAGGACGGGTTTTTGTATGAGCCTGGGTGTAGTCAGCCTTTGTGATCGTCACCAGCTATTGGGAATTCCAATTTGATTAGAAAAACAAAAAATAAATAGAGAAAAAAATATCCTTTGCCTAATTAGGTGATTTTGCTGCCGCGTCCGTCAGAAGTATGAAGATATTACTCATTTGTGTGAACGTCTTCTCACGCGTCTGAACGAAGCATGAAGCGCTGTCATTATAGCACATATTGAAGTTGCCACGTTCTCGAGTGGTGGAGATTAAAAGTAAATTTCTCTGTGGGCCGTTGTCGATGTCAGCGTTCACTTAATAACAAGGGCCAGCGCAAACGTGAGGTGAAAAAAGGCCACTTGTCGTTATCTGGAAATAAAAAGCTCCCGGCTGTCATTCAGCGCGCACCGCACCGCACTGCACCGACGCCGCGCGCGCTGCTCGCTAGACCAGACTGTCATTCCTCTCCCATTCCCGTCCCCGACCCCTTCACGCGGTCGATTCACTCAATTTCACGGCGTGACCTTGGCGTGGCATCGCCGCCCACCGAACACGGGCACAGGGGTCCCCACGGACCCAATCGGGACCGCCAATCGTATTGACCGGCGTTAAAGGGGAGGTTTGTCGACCCGGATGGTCGGTCCCGGGTCCCCCCGGTGTTTCCTCCCCGCGTGCGCTCGCTCCGCTATCACCACCACCGCCACCTCGAAATTATCTCGTCTCTTTATCTCCTGCCCAAATGGCAGTAAAAATAGACGACCGTCTCCTTTCAGCTCTGTCGTAGTGCTGCATCTGTGGTTGGCCTGCTCCTTCCCCCTACCTTTCAAGATGGATAGATACTAGCAGATACGCGTCTTGCGCGCTGCATCATTTACATCATCTTTCCCTCCACCGACTTCCAAGCCCAGCTCTCCTATACCCCCCGTCTGCTGGCACGACCGACGTTAATCACATTCATGACTGCCATAATACGCCTTTGCCAAGGTCGCCAGGGTGGCAGAGCCTTTTTCCCCCACTCTCTCCATCGGTTTGTTTTCCCTCTCTGGCCGTCTCCCTCCCGTCCCCTCTTCTTGCGAGCCTAATTACCCAGCGAGGTGTACACGTGAAATCGCCAAGATGATTCATACATTACCTCGTCCCGGCTGATAATTCGACGCGTGCACGGTGTTGTATTTTGTGAAGCATTCGAAGATCCCTAGCCCTCGCATATTCATAAAAAAAAGGGAAAATTTCCAGTACCTTTGTTGTTTTAGAGTATAATAGAATTTATTGTCAATTTTGCCAGTGGTGAGAGCAGATTGTTCATTTTTTTTTGCCCAGCGGAAGTGTAAATATCTCGTTTGCTTGGGCGTCGCAACACGAGTAGTCATTAAACCAAGTTGCCGAAAGGAAATTAGACACTGAAAAATATTGCTCTCGAAAAAAAGGCGTTTGCCAGCTGTCAATTTTGCGGCTGATGAAAACATTGCAGACATTGAACAGATTTTCAGATATGGAAATTTCAGAGTGGGATATAATGACCATGTCGATCTTTGTGTCTATGGCAACTCAGAGGGTGGCTTATATAAGATTTTCTAAAATTTTGTATGTAGGTCAGCTAAATTGAATCTCATTTTAAGTTCGAGCATGCCTGTTCTAGGGTTTAAATCGACTCAGCTGTACCTACTCGAACTCGGCAAATGTTTCAAACGTCTAAGTTCTTGTTCTCCCTTTTCGTCTCTTTCTGAATGTTAGATGTAAATACTCTCCAAGATAAGCATATTATCGACAGTTGCCAGGACCGCATCAGCGGGGCTTTGATGGACTACACGATGGCCAACTACCCGGGCATCAACGACAAGTTCGGCCTGATGCTCCGCTTGCTTCCCGAGATCCGGCAGGTCAGCCAGCGAGGGGAGCAATACCTGTACAACCGCCACATGGAAGGCGAGGTCCCATACAACAGTCTACTCATGGAGATGCTCCACAGCAAGAGAAAGTGAGCGTGCAACGGCCGTTGGCAGACGGAGCAGGCGCGCCAGACCTGGGGACCCAACAAATCCCAGGCCCCTTAATAATTTTGCGCGGAGAAAGGACAAATGGCGACACTAGATCATGAAGGATATCTGCTCCGGCGGCTGTTTGATGAGTGGCCCTCCGCTCTGCAGAGACAGTGACTCTGAGCCAAAGAGTGTCGATTATTTTTAATCTACAAGAGTAAAAAAGCTTGGCTGTGAAAATTACGGTTAAAAAGATGGTTGGGAGAGTTCGGTACTTGAGTACATTTGATGTAAAAACAGTACCCTTGTAATGATGAAAGTATACAAGACACTGCTCCCGGTCTTGATCCTCGTGTAATAATTCAGTGTAACACTCTCCAGGTCAGCAACGAACCAGACTGAAACATCTGTATGGGTCTTTTTCCCATGCAAGGGTAGCTTGCCATGTAAGGAAACGTCAGAATCCCGTCCAGGAGGATCGGGTGAGATGCATTTTGGCGTGTTGTCGCATCCCGGGCTTGTTCGCCAGTTTCTTGTTTTTTTACCGAGGTTTACCGGCGACGCGTTCTAAACAAGACCCTGAAGGCCGGGGTTGTTCGGCGGCAGGCGTTCGATTGCTTACGGACGTGTCTTGCGTTGAGAAAATGGGTTGTCATTCAAAAATACAGAGTTATGAGAGCGAAGGTATAATGAACATTGGTGCTTGCCATTGGCCCTGCCTTAAAATGGCGGCGGCTTAACATCAAAGGAGCCTTGTCTTTGGCAGAGTTGTGTCGTTTAAAGAAGGGTAGTGACAACATTTGATCCCCTCCCCCTATGAAACCACCCCTCCCATGAAAACTACCCCTCCATCTGGCCCTGCTGTTGGTTGGTATATTGAAGTAACATTATAAAAGATTGTTGTATTTGAAGAGAACATAGCGCCAAGCGCCAGCTCTAAAAAAATGACAGGTATCAGATATGCCAAGCCAAAGATAAAAACCAAAGGTTTTTACGAATATCTTTCCTCCTATGTTCACGGCCCCATACTCTGCTTAAAAAGCTTGGCGCCAACCCTAAAACTGAGTGAATTTTTTTTTAAAGTGAAGTAGGCCTTGTAGTTATACGAAATGATCATACAATTTTGAGAGTCTTTATGACCACATATTGAACAGTCTTGAGAAGTCATCTGCAAAAAAACCCGGCTAGCGTCAGATTTAAGAAGACCAATGGGGTGGACTTTTTTGTAAAGTACTACATAGCTTAAGTATAAATGTACAGAATTATCATAATAATTATATTTCTGTAGAAGTTTTATTTTAGATTTTTTTTTCGTGTTGGAACTTCACTGTAACGACTGATGAATTGTCGCTTTGTTTTGTTGTAAAACCTTGGCATTTCGGGAGATCAACTTTTTCTGATGGGAAATTCAATCCAAATGGAATAAATATTGATGTATTACTCACAGTGTCCTAAACTTAGGCGCGAAGGAAACGACAAAATTATATAGCCATATTCGTCCGGATGCCACTGTGTAAACTCTCCTTGATATGGTTGCGTTTCTCAAAGTTGGCATATGCATTATATCCATCGGTCCTACTGACTTGTCAGTTACTGTCGAACTGCATTTTTGACCAGGTCGACTTTGTTGTCGGTGAAACGTATTGTCATGTTCAGTCCAACAAAAAACAAAGAAAGTGTCTTTGCATTTAGCTCGCTGCTGATTAGTGCACATCCTGTGATCAACTTATAAATATTATAATTAGGGAAACACTGGCGAAATTAGCATCCCTTCAAATTTCGTACTCTCAATAGACACAAATAGGATGACTGCATAGGCACTCAGTACTGTTTGATTTCGCCACTTTCTGTTTGTACAACACTTGGCAGAAATATTTACTCGATGGATTCTGCGTAATTGATGTACAATACCGAGTTTGACCCAGTAGAACGACCGAGTTTGACCCAAACCAAGTACGCCTGTGGGTTGACAAATCAGCTTCAAATGTCCAGTTGGGATTCTGCACAAAGAAACGCTTCCTTCTTTGGTCTTCGAGATGTATTGTACACACGATACACGTTTTGGGGTTATCAATCGACAGTTGAATCTTGAGTACATCTTGAAAACAGTTGATACTTGGAGGCTGTTTATGGAGGCTGCCATGTTTGTTGCGGGTTCCTCCCTCTAATCGCTATGTTCATCAATAGGTTAATCTGCAAGGCACAAGTCTATCTCTTTTCTTTTCTTCTGCGATGCTGGGTCCTTCTCGGGTGTCGTAATCATGTAGTATGGTCTTTTTCAGGCCATCCCTTTTTAATGAGATGGTACCTTATTAGTGGATTACGTTGTAAGCTAAGAGGCACATTGAAGTTAAGGTTTCAAGGAAAACGTTCGTTGTCTTGTACTACATATGTCTAGTAACTTCAACTTCAAATTCTTTAGTCGGTGGTCTTATGTAAAACGTCTGTGAAAGAGTGTGAAGTTTTTGTAAGCTTCGTTGAATCGTTCTGGAGTTACGATGTGGGGTTATTTTTATCCGTTGGATGCTGTTTGGGAAACCCGTGGATATATCTGGTTGCACTTCGAAGCAGAGACCCGAGGAAGAGAAAAAACGCTTCAATTACTTGTTGCCTTGGTGTCTAATTGAGCAAGAGGTAATAAGCGTCCGTGTCATCGTCAACAGACACATATAAATGAAGAAAGTGTTCATGTGTTCCCATAGCAACAGCTCCGTGTGCACGGTATTGGAGCCGAGCACAGTGGGAACTACACGTATTATAATGGCCTGCCCAAAAAGGCCATTTTGCGGCGCACAATTCCAAAAACTGTGATTTGAATTTGGTGTGGTTTTTGGTTTAAGGAAGGGGTAATGTATTTATCTGTTGCTTTGTGTCATGGTACTCTATTGTGCTTAAAAGCTCGTTTTTATGTTCTGCCAACCGAAATGCCAATTGCCAGCGTTTTTCTTTTTGAAAGCATGCAGCGTATGAAGGAAAAAGCGAAATTTCACCCAAATGTCTCCGGCTGCCGCCATTGTTGGTCGTGTGCCTGGAATACACGGTGGTTATGGGGATGGCGTTTCATTGCTGCGTCAGCGGTCCCAGACTCGGGTGTTGTCTGGAGATGGGGGAAATAAGTGTCAGTACATGCGGAGTCCATGTGTATTCGGGGAAAGGGTTGGAATCATTTATCGCAAAAATTGCAGATCAAAGGATGTGCAGTTTGTGTGGAAGCATTGGGTCTGACATTCTTTCACCATTGGCGTATTGTTATTTAAGGTATTCTCTTATTTTTTTAAAGTATGTCTTAAAACGCACAAACTATCGCTGGCGTTCCTCTGTTCTCCTCAGTTAAGGTTTAACAGTAAAAACAATTGTGAATTCCATTGTTTACTCACTCTAAACAGGGTTCATGAAACGAAGGCTGTCAGTTTCTTTTGTAACAAAAATAGATAAGTATGTATAATGATATGCAAAAAAAGCTGTTTCGGAAAAACGGCTCTGAAAAAAAAGTATTTTTGACACCAACTGCACGCTGTGAAATTCACTTACTAATGGATTTGTTTTCATTGTCTTTAAAATTAATCAGAAACAACTCTCTATCACTGTGAAAAAATCTGTAAGTATTATTGAAAGAAAACTTTTACCATTGTAAGATAATTAAAACAAACCTTGTACGATGTTTGTCTACAAAATTTGGTGTGGAAATTGTGTTGTCGTTCGAGTATGTAATGCGTTGCGTTCGTTTGTAACACTTTGAATCGTTTTTTCTCTTAAGCAAATAGGCAGATGGAGGACGGGGCTTAGTGTTTTTTTTGGGGGGGAGGGTTGGT